GTAAAATCATAGCGTCATACAAACATGGTCATTTTATAATCGTAGCTTGAGGCTAAAACCTACTGTGTGATTTTTAAACACGTTTTAAAAACTCAAGCATTTGAAAACGTCTGCTGAAATTTATTGCTTGTATGATGAAGGTAACGCGATCTCCTTTTGCAAATTTGACATGGGGTGGCTGACACTTGCAATGATCATATCAACAGAATTATCAATTGTTCCTATTTTGGCCATCGAATCGCTCCTCAGCTTATTAGAATATATTGAGTGGATTTCGCAAGTGTAAGATCAACTTATGAAATATATAAAATTCCTAAAACAGCTCTTTTCTAGAATTGAGGAATACTTCCAGTTGAGAGGCGAGTATGCGTTAACTCTTGATAAACCTCTTCGAGATTGGATGGAAGACAAGCAAACAGTGCAACAGAATTTTTAAGTATCGACTAAAATCATTAGAACGTGACTCAGTTGTTTTGAATATAATCTTGGACTATTGCGCAAAGGGACATTGAATTTGGACGCTTAGGGAGTGCTTGCGACAAATTACGATATCTTATACGCCACGAACGTATAAAAATAAAAGAATTAACCTAAGAAAATGTATTTGACGTAAGGCCCTCGGGATGTTGAAATAATTCCATTCGTTTTTTCAATTGATTAACTTGCCCTCTTCAACCTTATTTATCATAATTATGTCGAAATCCCGTGGGCAGTTATGGCAATGTAAAAGCTCTAGAGATCCAGTTCCGAGTGGCTACTTTTCGTGTGTTACTACACGACGCGCGCGTTTTTTCCAAATTTTTCAAATTTTTAGATTTTTTTTCTTATCAACTGACGAGGTCGTAGACGAAAGTAGTTTTGAAGTTTTCGCAGTAGTGTGTTGAAAGTAGAAGTTGGAGTTTTTCAGTTACATGGTTAATATGGCGTTAAGTAATACTTTCTTGGCTTTGATAAGTAGAATTTCAGAACAATACAGGCGTCTGGACAATACATATATGCAAAGTAAAGGCACGAATAGAGACTTTCGACAAATATATTACTTAGTAAGAGAAACAGAACGACTTACTCGAAAGATTTCTAAGGTTCAGCGTATAGTCACTATTCTAGTCCCCAATTTGAAACCTAGCAAACTCAATGTAAACAGTTTTGATATGTCTCACTCCAAAGTCCACTCGTAGCTTATTTTCTGTCTCATTTTGTGTCAAGCGGTAGATTTTGTCAAGTCCGAGCCAAAATCTTTTAAAGTGGGGTCGTCTTCCGGAAAAAAAAATATTAGGATTTGAAGGTTGCCAGAATAAATGAAAGTTCAGAATCTACCTGTCTCGTTATTTTTGTTTCCTTGATGAATAATGTTTTTATCACCTTTTATTACATCCATTTTGAAATCACTGGTGGTCCCTGTAATCTGATTGGCTCTAATTGGTGCGATTTATTCACGAATCGCACGAAATGTTTGCTCTAAATCGCATCATTTTACCCTTGACTGAGTTTTTGACACATGACCGGTCAGTCTTTCTGTTTTGCATACAAAATGTACGATGGAAGATGTAAGAGCGTTTCTGGTTCCACTTACTATTTAAAAACCGGCTCAGTACTGCATCAGTAAAATATTTGAATTGACCAAGTCTTGTATTTGGCTGATTTCAAAATTGATGTAATAAAGTGGTAATTGAACCTCGTGTCGTGCAATTTCGGTCTGAAATCATACTTGTGTACATTCGTAAGTTTACCTTTTTGGGGCGTACTTGTGAGTTATCCCAACAGGGTCAGCCCCCATAACAACTGTTGCTAGAAAAGATTTGTTTTGAAATATACTTGAGTACCTTAAAAGGTCAAAGATCGAGAGTTTGGCTCGCTTATGATTAGAGTGTTCAAGCATAACACAGATTAGTCTGCCGCTAATTGTATTATCGCTGAAATTCCGATCGTGCCCTTAAGAAATTTACCGGACAGTCTCAATATCATTGTAAGAAATTTTTGCTCTAAGAGTTGTTACAGTGACGATAACTCTCAAGAATGGCAAAACACATCACAAAGACTATAACCCAGAGGACTCGTGAATGCTATAATTATCTCTTTACAGATGAGTCACGTCATAGTCTGATAGTGATGGAACGTTTAATTTATTTTCAAGAATTAATGACGTTTCACCTCAGATTTGTGCTAGCTTTGATGTTTGAGTGAGCTAAAAAGGAAACATCTTTCACACAAGAAAAGCAAGCTTCGTGCCTAATTTGACACAAAATATTTTTTAAATATTTATGAACTTCCTATGTTAATAAAAGCAAAGAAACACGAATGTTCTTTATTCCAAGAAAACCCCTCTATATTGACTGTTGGGAGGATCCCGGGGAATACACCTGCTGTTTAGTACATTCTTCTCGCGTCTACAGTTCCTCCGCCCCGCAACCTTTACATAGGAAACTGCTGTATAAATACAGGTTCGAGAAATTAAAATTTCTTCAATCTGCAACTGTGCTACATATACATTTCGAGATCTACAGCTTTAAGGTTGGGAGACGAGTTTCATCGTATCATGTCTGCTTCACAAAATTCTCCTTTGCTGCTCAGTCTGGCACTTTTCTTCTTCATTATTCAACTGTTACCTTCAGCTCGTGCAGCTCCGATAAATCACAAAACCAACCACAGAGAACCCGAGAACTGTGAGTAAGAATCTGTGCTTTAGTATATTATGATAACCCCTGGATTACATTTCCTTGAAAACGAAGGTTCTTTATATAGTAGCAGAATCCTTTTCTTGGTTGACGTTGGAATTCAGGGATTCATTTCGGAGAACGATTCTACTTGTACTCTAGCGTTCTCCATGAGTTTAGAACTGTCAAAAAATTATCTATCGATTGTTTATTCGTTGCATTATTTCTTTTACTTTATTTTCTATTATTTCTTCTTTTCCTCGTATATTCTGTTTCCCTCGTTCTTGTAGGAATTCGATTTTTTATCCCTTAACAGTTAAGAACTGTGCCGAGCTGTACACAAGGGGTCAAACCATAAGTGGTGTTTATACAATCGACCCTGACGGTAAAGGTGCCTTTAATGTTTATTGTGACCAGACAACAGCTGGTGGAGGCTGGACAGTCATCCAAAAGAGACAGAATGGCTCTATCGATTTCAACCGCACCTGGGATGACTATACAAAAGGCTTCGGTAATTTCCTCATTGGTGAATTTTGGCTCGGACTTAACAAGATTAACCGCCTGGTTCAGAATGAGACAGAAAACAAGCTTCGAGTAGATATAGGAGTGAGCAAATA